CCCCCGGGCCAGCCCTGCTCCCCGCCAGCTGGTCCCCCCCCAGCCAGCCCCGCTCCCCCATACTCCCTCCTGGCCAGCTCTGCTTTCTGCCAGCTGGTTCTCTCCCCTCTGGCTAACCCCGCACCCCCAACCTCCTCCTGGCCAGCCTCGCTCCCCTCCCAGCCAGTATCCCCTCATTCCTCCCATCTGAGTGTGTCTGGTATTTTTCGTAAGACATCTGGTAACCCTAAGAACTTGTACCACTGGTTGAGAAACACTGTTCTAGGGTAGTGTAGCTTTACCTTTAGGCTCTGCTCCTGTATTGTTTATAACAAGTTTCAAAATATTATATAAGGAATACAAATATTTGAAATAGGGCTGTAAAATCCCTGGGGTCACCCCCCCCCCCCCCCCCCCCCCCGTGGGGAGCTGGCACTAGCACTCCAGCCCTATGTGGAGGGGCCGTGCAGGGCTGGAAGCAGCGGTGGGGGTGGGGTGCGTAGCCTCTGGCTCACAGCCTGGATACCAGAAGCGGGAGCCTGCTCCCCCTGTGACGCTTACTGGGTAACCAATTAACTGGTTACCCTTTCACATCCCTAATTTGAAGAGCTGTCCTACATAAGGATCACTTGTAAGTTTAATGATAAAGAAGTTAATAGCCTGTGGCTGTTGCATTTAAATTGCCTCTGTTGCTGGATGAATGGTAGACATGACTTTCAATGCAAGGCTACATCTACATTGCGAGCTTTTGCAGCAGAAAATATGTTAGAGGGACTCATTTGCATAAGTTGTGATCTCATTAGCATATTTTCTGCCATTTCTTTTTGCACAAGGGTTTTTTGCACAAAAAGCAGCAGTGTAGCCCCTTTCGTTTTGTGCAACCTCCCCCCCGTTTTGTGCAAGATCCTTATGCTGCTCCGGGACAGGCATAAGGATCTTGCTCAAAACAAGGTTTTTGCGCAAAATGGAAGTGGCTACACTGCTGCTTTTTGCGCCGAAAGAAACAGAAAATATGCTGATGTACTTCATTAGCATATTTTCTGTAGACGTAGACCAACTGTGTAGCTATAGGTCATTTATTACACAAATCAGGAAAACTTTCAACTCTTAGAATCTTTGTATAGTGTTTTTGAGATCCTTTTATGGAAGCCGATATTGAAGGGTTTGATCATGCACCCAGTGAAATCAGTGCTGATGCTCCTACTGGCTTAAATTGCACAGGATCAGCCACTGAATGAACAAAGGGCTATGACTATTAATAATGGGAGAAATAGGTTTAATAAAATCCCTTTGACACAGTACAAATGGCTATTGAAATGAGAGCGCATTTGGAGTCTCAGCTATGGGAGTGGATTGAGGGATAGCATTTTGAGATATTAAATGTATTAGGTAAACAGATTTAAATGATAGTATTTGACTAAGGAAAGGATGGATTTGGATCACTTAGTAGCAAGGTGTTCTATTTTGGGGCTTTCAAACTGATTTACTAATCATGCCAAGAAACCCTTTCCCTCTCCTGTGAACATGAATCTGTTTCTTAGAATCTGTTTTAAGAGATACATGAGATAGGGGTTTGTATGTGCATCTCTTCTGTCCAGACAAACAACTTCAGCATCAGACATATGCCTGATCAGAACATGGAATTAAAATAATTAATCCTTTTGCATCCTTTTGCTGGCCCTTAAGGCAATTTAGAACAGCTCTTGTTATCTGTGGCTCCATTGCCTTGTTCATGCTCAGAATGACTTTCTAGAGCAGCATAACAGTGCCTGATGAATAGGTTTGAAATCAGCAGCATGTGGGGATTCCCTGTGAGTAACAGGGACCCATGGTGAGACACATATATTTGGCTAAACACAATGAGCAAAATCAGGGTTTGTTTTATTGGAAATATAAATATGGTAACTAACAAGGACAAAAACCCCAAACAAACAACTCAATCTTGTATCCTCATCCCTCTGATAGGAACATGACAGTAACCTAGTATTGATTTGCCCCTAAAACATAAAACAAACATACAAAATTAGCCAAAGCAAGCAGTCACAATTCAGTACTTGCTATAGACTGTACAGTAATTTAATAAAATAAAATAAATTTAAGATTAATGGAGAAAAATTGCTATGTTCATTTTTTTACATCTCCAGACAACAGGGGAGGCCTTTTCTGACTGAGGAATACAAAGATGCTTTTAGAAAAAGGTACAAGTGTGTAAGGCACAGTAGCAGGATAGCGGCCGATTAAGCCAAACATATCTGATCTGATAAATTATAACAAAACTTCTGCAAGGTGCTGTATTGGAACATTAAGGAATGTATACATTTACAGCTTTTGTTCACATTTGTAGGGTGTCTAGTTCAACATTATAGCTTTTTATCAATATAGCTCCAGTAAAAATAAAAGGCTGACAGACTTTGGACAGCTAAAAAGAGCCAATGTCTAGGTCAAAGAAGAAAGATATTGAAAGTAGTTTATGACCCCCTATTAATTTTGTCTGCAATGGATTGTAAAACTCCTCAAGCTCTTCTTAAAAACACCATTGTGCAAGGTGTTCAAGCTGAAGATAGACTAATCAAAATCCTCATGTATAACTAAGGACATGGCTACACTGGGGAGTTATTTTGAAATAACAAGGTGTGTCCTCACAATACTAAACCCGTTATTTTGAAATAACTCCTGCTTGTGAAGAGGAATAGCTTATTTTGAAATTATTTCAGGAGTATTTATTTCGAAATAACTCCCTAGTGTAGACATAGCCTTAGACCATGGGTTCCCAAACTGGGGTGTGTGAAGAAATTCCAGGGGGGTGCGAGGGCACCCAGACTCCCCCCCCCATCAAGTTTTGCTGCCCTGTTCAGTTTTTTTCCCCCTCAAGTTTTGCTGCTATTGGGGGAGGGGGAAGGACGTGAAGGTTTTTAAAAAATCAGGGCGTGATGCCAAAAAGTTTGGGAACCACTGCCTTAGATTTTCCCACAGACACCTTACTGACCAAGCATTGCATGTTTTGTCCATCAAAACCTCTTGTTTCATCACAAGTAACAAAAACCAGTCCACAAAATCTCAACTTAAACAACAGTTTCTTGTGCCTCCACTGGCTTTCCTTTACATTGTTATCACAGATTAGCAGGCAGCACAGTAGCAATGTGAAATTCATGTTTTTTAATTACAACAGAACTTCAGGGTTACAAACACCTCGGGAATGGAGAACAAATATTATAGCTATTCTTTCAAAAGTTTATGATGGAACATTAACTTCATACAGCTTTGGAACTTTATTATAAAAAAATGCAGCTTTCCCTTTATTTTAGTAGCTTTAAGTTTAACACTGTACTATACTGGCTTTTTTCCTCTCTCTCTGCTTCTGGTTGTGTACTTCCAGTTCCAAATGAGGTGTCTATTGACTCGTCAGCTCATAATTCTGGGTTTCATAACTCTGAGGTTATACTAGAGTCATAAATATACCTGGCTTCTCTCTTGCTCACATACATTTAGAAATAACACACATATATCGCTGTGTCTTTAAAGCTCACAGACAAATCAATTTAAAAATCATAATACTTAAATGCTTCTGTTCGTCTCATACTGCTTACAGCACTGTGCACTTTACAAAGGTTCCCAATTCTGTTAAAATCTGAGGGTAGATCTAGTTTGCCTTAAAGTGAGGGTTAATTGTGGCTTGAACTAGACCTAGAGCAGACCAATGCTATGCAAACTTCCCACAAAACGTTGGGTCGGTGTTAGAATCTGCCAGTAGAACAGAAGCGCAGGAATGGAAAGCACCTTAAAAGGACAACTATTTTGTCCCCCTGTATTGAGGATTCTTGACAGGGGTTTGTCTTGTTCTTAAATTACTACACTGTTAGCCTAGTCTTGACTATTAATTCAGCAAACACTCTTAATAAGATCAGATCATTGGGTATATCTGTAATATGCACATTGATGGAACATGGCCACCAAATTTATTTTACTTTTAACTAGGCTTTGAAGGTGAGAAGCCAGGGCACTAACCTGCCATTGCCACCGGGTGCCATATCCCTAGCATAGTTTGGAAAACAGGATTATGATTCTTGCATTAAGATGTCATAAGGTGGTACAATTCAGAATAGTGATTGTTGCAGGGGGAGTAAAACGTCCCCAAAGAAAGCAAATTAAATCTGTAGGAACTTCTTCCTTCAAAACCTTATGCATTGGGATAAGTTATTTGTAGATTTTACATTTTTCATGTGCAGCACCCTCTGGTCATAGCAGTCTTGCAATCATTGTATTTTCAACTTCTCATGCAGTAAGCATAGGTAAGCCACAGCTTTCAATGTCAGCCATTTCATCTTTTTATTTCAACCATCATTTACTTTGACCATTAATGATACTCTTTCTGTGTCAGTGGCAAATGTGACCATATATTCTGCACACAAGATGGAGGCACGGGGTGCAGGAAGAATGTATTTCTAATCTCAAGTATCCTAGAAGCCGGGAGGGACTCACTGGCACTTGACATGCCACACTATGCTTTTTTGGCCCAGCCCCAAACTGTATGCACAGGCAACTGCTGACCTGAATTCAGCACCAAGAGCAAGGACTAAGGTACTGCTATGCACATCCTAGGAATCCAGATAATTTCTGTGCTCTGAACTTGATAGAGAATCCTTTTTTAATAGAGTATTCTGTAAAATGTAGATTTCACACTTATATTGCAATAAAAATGGCTTCCTAATTTTGTTTGGTCAAAGCAACATGTATTGCTGCATGTCTGTTGGAAGCTTTGGGATGTTTTGTGTAGCTATTGAGGCTCCCCCGAAACAGTGAAAGGATATGTGGAGGAAAGGGAAGAAGTAGGACAGGCAACAAAGCTTGTGCTACACAAAGTCTTGCAGTGTTCACTTGTCTAGCTGACATTCTTCATGTTCAATAATCGTTCTAAGAAGTTCGAGAGGCAGAGAGAACTTTCACCGTGGCTGAAACACAGTCGCTTATCTCCTGATAGGGAATTCCTAGACTGATAAAATAATGGTCGGTAGTCTTTCATTTCTGAAGCAGTGCTTCAACGTCATTGTACCTTTCACGCATACAAGTGGGTGAAATGTTGATTGTGTGTCACCAAAGACTGTTTTGAAACCAACACAACTGCTGATTAGAAGAGGCAGACCCCCAGTAAGTGGATTTTGCTCTCTCCTCTGTTGAAGCCCATGCTCTGGAAACACTTTGCCATTCGTGTTGCAGATAATGCTTCCGTCCTTGGCATCAACATTCTCTTGGTACATCACCAGCTGCCGAAATTCTCTGAGAATTTCCCATTTAAATGGGTGAAGACAAAATAATTCTTTGTGCTGTAAAGACAAAATAATTCTTATAGAAAAAGCTAATATGCTTAATTGACATAATCAATGAACAGGGAAAGGTCATGAAGTTAAAGACAGGAAAGGCCCATGAGTCCAGATCCTGCAATTAAATCCTCATGGGTGGATCCCTGCTTCTGCTCAGAGCCCTTTTGATTTTAGTGGGACTCCAGTCTAACCTGTGAGTTCTGCAGTACAGAGCTACTTTTAAGTGCAAGGCCTTAATTGTCCAGTGCATCTCTCTTTGCAAATGCAAAGAATGTCCCCCTTCTCCAAACAGAGGCTTTCTTCAGCATTGTTTAAATTAAGTGGCCACAAAAATAATGAGGCACTAATTTTAAGCTCCCGAATTGTAGCAATAAAGCCAGGCCACAGGTGACCCCTGTCAGGATGCTGTCGTTAGCCTCTGTTGGTCAGAGGCTGGGAAAAGAGAGGGATCACTTGATGATTCCCTGTTCTATTCATTGCCTCGGGGGCATCTCGGCAGACAGGATACTGGGCAAGATGGACCTTTGGCCTGACCCAGTATGGCCGTTCTTATGTTGTCTCATTGTCACATCGGTAAAGATTTCCCTGTAAGTGATCTCACCTTCCGTAAGGTGAAAATGTAATTGCTAAAGCAGAAGAATTTTTTGTTATAATACTAAAAAGTAGAACGGCCACTTCAGTCTGCCCAGGGTGGTGTTTTACCTGGGGCTACATACACCCCGTACTGCTAGACTGAAAAGCTGTGATGACGTAGGGCCAGATCCTCTGGTGCATTAGGGCAAATTTGCACTGCGCCCTTGGCAGAAAACAATTCTAAAACTAGTAGATGCACGGGGACCAGCCCAGTGTGGGGCACCTGTCCCTGCAGCAGGTCTTTGAACCTCCTCTGCTTCCCAAGGCTGGAACTGAGCTGTGCTGGGGGGGAGAACAGGAACCCGCTAGGCACTCTACACCCTATTGCTGTTAATCAAAGCCATCCAGATTAGTGTTTAGGGGCCCACCCTTGACAAGAGAGAGACCAGAGCTGCAGGGGGAGTTTTTTTTTTAAATGTGTTCATATGGCATCCAGCACCATGGGCTCCACCATAACACAGATATTTCCTACTACTAATATGAACGTGGCGCAAGTAGTTTCCCACTTAGCTAAAAATTTATGGTCCAAGTCCTGGGATATGGCTTTCATGGAGGTTAGGTCCATAAAAGGCTATTAGCCAGGGGATAGAAATGGTGTCCCTGGCCTCTGTTTGTCAGAGGATGGAGAGGGATGGCAGGAGACAAATCACTTGATCATTGTCTTCGTTCCACCCTCTCTGGGGTACCTGGTGCTGGCCACTGTCGGCAGACAGGCTACTGGGCTAGATGGACCTTTGGTCTGACCCAGTATGGCCGTTCTTATGTTCACTCAACACAAATCAAGAGGAGACTTTAAATGATACAGGCAGTTTATTTCAATAGACTTCTCCACTGTGTATAGGAGAAAATCCATTGTTTATAAAATGTCATTAAGCAGGAAATGGTTTAATGCCTGTTGATATTAAATGGGCACCACTGTGTTGAATCAGTCCAGAATGGGGAGTGCGGAAAACAGCTGTTCATTAAGCTAGTTTACATCTCAGAAATTAAAAGCAAAGCATTTTTTGGATGTGAAGGATACTTGCTTGCATTAGGTATTTTAAGTGGCATTTATACAAAGCTGTTTGTTGTCATGTGCACAAGTGAGAAGCAAAACCACACACATAAACCTCTGAGCAGAAAGACACTCCGCACATTTCCCTTGCACACCAGAGCCTTGTGGGAAGGAGGGGGCACAGGCTAGTAGATTTTGTGTGCTCCACCATCGCAGGTTCCCCAATACTAAGGGGGAGCCCCGAGCCGCAGGGGCTGGATCCAGGCAAGCTGGGGGTTGCATCTGACCCCCGGGCCTGAGATTCCCCATCTCTTGTTTAGACTGTATTTCTTTTTTAGGAACAGGAGAGTGCTTCCTACATTTTTTTAAATATATGAGCCATATTGTAAGGTGATGTAAACAGGCATAGTTCCATTTACTTCAATGGAGCTATCTGAATTCAAACAAGGGGAGGATCTGTCCCTCTATGGAGGTGGTACACAGAAAGCGAGAGTAGTACTTGTGAGTTTGTATGAAGTTAGAAATGAACAATGTTGTACGATTTTTTAAACAATCAAATATTCTAAAGAGAGTTGTAGCACTGAAGCCCTGAAGTTCTGTACAGATACCTGTGATCAGTGTGCCTGATCTGTTGCTACTTACCATTGCATTGTCCCCCGTCTTCATTTTGTTGAACATCTGTGAAAAGAAGTACAGCATTTTAAATCTCTCTTATTTGAACTGCAGTAGCCCCAAAGAGCCTCAACAAAGAAATGGTGGTAGGCATTCTGCAGACAAGTGGTAGGAAAACAGTCCCTGCCTTAAAGACCTTACAGTGCAGGTTATGAAAAGAGCCAAGCGGGGGAGGGAAGAGACAAATGGAAGGAAAGAATGAGGCAACAGGAAAGCAGGCAAATCATCGCACAGTAGGCAAATGTTTTCATTGGCCTTATGCAGATGAAAACATTAGAACAGTCTAAAGATACAAAATTAAGGTTTTGTACATTTCTAGGTCAATAGCATTTCTTCCCTTGGGAATAATTCCAGCTTGGCTCTACACAACATTGATCTTCATGAGAAAAAGTTGTGAACCTCAGGTTGGGCCAAGTGACCACCTTGTCTAGCAATTCATCTTACACTTAATTATCTTATTCTGGGTCTGATGTGGCTACTACTACACTACATACCTTCAGTACCTTTGTATCTAATCATAATGGAGTTTGGAAGCTGAGACTATGGGTTTGAATCTCAGCCCTGCATTGGGCTGGAGTGGCTTTGCACTGGCCCATGGCAAAACCTCAAGTGAGCACAGCAGATGCAGAGGGGGGCAGGTCCTTGTTTTCTCACCACCTCATTGGGAGTGCCTAGTGCTGCTAGCCATTCAAGGGTTGCTCCTGGACACTGAGGTGAACCCCAGGTGGTGACAAAGCAGGAACGCTCTTTGTGTTTCCCCATTCCTACATGCTCCCGCTTGCACCACTCCAATTTTCACCACAATGAGAGTGCACATACATGGGTAAATATTAGAGATGGATGAACATTTTTTGATAAAACTTTTTCTGGAAATTGTTGCTTTTTAAAAACTCACACTTCCCATGGGAAAGGAGCAAAACTTTTGTCATGAGGATTTCTCAAGTCCGGCATGGAATTTTGAGGGGGAGGGAAGGATCGGAGAGAGACACCCCCCCATACACACACCCCCTAAATAGTCCAGTGAACAGAGCACTCCTTTAGGATGTGGCAGACCCAAGGTTTAAAGTAGGGATGTTAAATATCATTTAATTGAATAGTTGATTAATCTCATGAATTCTTATCAGTTACTCAACTATTCTATAGTCCCAGGGGTAGGGGCTTCTCACTCTGGAGGAGCCCCCTGCCACACCACGCTGCTGCCTATGTATCAGCAGCAGCAACGTGGGGTGCCAGGCAGGAACTGGTCTGCAAGGGAAGCCAGTTTAAAAACCAGCTTCATTATAGAAGCAGCAGCGTGGAGTGGCTGCAGTCCCTGTCCGGGGGCGGTTTGAACTCCTGAACCTGGCGTGAGCCAGAACTGAGCCAGGCTGCTGGCCAGCCTGATTAAAAAAATGTACTGGCAAGGGGGTGGGGGAAATACATGTAGTCAATAGCATTAACCAATAAGCTTTTGCTTATAAATTAATCGACTACACTATTACATCTCGGCTGCATCTAGACTGGCAAGATTTTCTGCAAAAGCAGCTGCTTTTGCAGAACAACTTGCCAGCTGTTTACACTGGCCGCTTGAATTTCCGCAAGAACACTAACGATCTCATGTAAGATTGTCAGTGTTCTTGCAGAAATACTATGCTGCTCCCGCTCGGGCAAAAGCCCTCTTGCGCAAATGCTTTTGTGCAAGAGGTCCCATGTAGACAACGCAGTATTGTTTTGCGCAAAAAAGCCCCGATGGCGAAAATGGCAATCGGGGCTTTCTTGCACAAAACCACGTCTAGATTGGCACAGACACTTTTCCGCAAAAAGTGCTTTTGCGTCTGTGCCAATCTAGACGCTCTTTTCTGCAAATGCTTTTAATGGAAAAACTTTTCCGTTAAAAGCATTTGCGGAAAATCATGCCAGTCTAGACGTAGCCCCCTAGTGCAGACCCCTCTCCGGGGCTCCCACCTATGAAGTGAGCATCTCAACTACCAAATTATTCATTATTCTGGGGTGATTACCTCTGTCATTTTGCAAAAATATTCATAAGGTGTCTGTTTAATTCTGAATGGATATTTTTTTCACCATATAGGACAACAGTACCCCCTCTCCCCAGCTCTTCAGTCTTGTTCTTGAGACATCTATTGGCGCTATCTTTTGTTTTATCTTGTAAAGTGCTGAAAATTCTACGGGTGGGCAGCTGCAGAAATGCAAGCAGGCACGTTTGTAAAATGATTCATAGAATCATAGAATCATAGAATGATTATTTGTTTGCTATAGAGGATTATTTCTCACTTGGAAAATTTTAGAAAGCAGGTAGGGCAGGACATTTGTAATAGGATAGGAAGGCTTTAATCGAGAAGCTGCACTTGGTGACCTCACAAGTTTCCTTCCACCCTACATTTCTATGATTCTGTAAACCATTGATTATAGTTTTCCCCACGTGGGTGATAACACCAAATTAATATCATCCAGTATTGGTTTGGTTTATATGAAATGAGTGTGTGATCTCTTTCCAGTTCTTAATGAAAGCTGACCATATTACACAAACTCATTATATTCCTTTTGTAGAGTGTCTCGGTCGAGAGGCCAGAGACAGAATAGGTGTGGTGCTTGAACTATTACTGCATCCAAAGGATTGGTTCCTCAGATAATATCACAAAAAGTTTACACTGCTACTTCTTATGTTGTACCAGGTTTGTGGCTAATTAGGAGTGCAGCCCCAGGTGTTGTCAATTCAGCACTTGTCATGAGCTCTTGTTTCACTCATATGTACAGGATTCACAGCTACACATGCCAAAATATTTCATATTCTAAAATCTGCCAAATGAAAAGAATGATTCCTAGCTAGTGTAAGTGGTTTAATTTACCTGTGTATGATTCCCGGTGAAAGGATTTCCTTTTCCATAGCCAACAGGTTAAAACAACTAGACCAACTAACACAACTGCAATGGCCACGACACTTCCAGCCTGAGCTCCTGGTTTATTTAGATCTATCAGACTGTCTTTGGTAGCATTAGAGTTTGTGATGTCTTCCAAGTCTGAAGAGAAAAGGTGAAAAGGAGAGAGAAGCTCTCAAAACTTCATTTTGGATGAATGTTCCACTGCATTTTATAGACATGAGTTTCACACAAGTCAATAAACATCTATAGCATTCCCATACATATAGCTTTCATTCCACCACCACTTTACTCCTCACAACTGTGAGGTGTACTGGCACCATCCAGGGACACCCTCAGCATTCGATTCAGTGGGTCTTTACTAGACCCACTAACTCGAATGCCAGAAGATTGAACTCCAGTATGGTAAGTATAGACATGGCTTAAGAGAGCGGTTGTAAACCAATGCGGTGGGACTTTAGGAGTCATGGATCCACCATGTACCAAAATGTCTTTTGTTTTAAAAGTAAACCATCATAAGCTGGGCCAAGGGTGGGCAAGAAAACAGCAGCAATTTGCCAGGGTTAGCCCCTGACAGGCTGCCAGCGCTATATTTACCTGCACGTCCACAGGAATAGGCAATTGCAGCTCTCGTTGGTCACAGATCACCATTCCTGGCCAATGGGAGCAGCAGGAAGCGGTGCAGACCGGAACACTGCTTCCCTCAACTTGCATTGGCTGGGAATGGCAATCCATGGCCAACGGAAGCTGCAAGTACCCGTACCTGTGGAGGCAATGGTAAACATAACCGCGGCATCCCGTCGGGGGCTAACCCTGGCAAATCAGATGTGGCCTGTGGGCTGGTATTTGCCCACCCTTGAGCGAGGCCTGTTGTGGTTCCCACAGGAACTGAAAGGGGAATAAGCAATTACAAAATTGTTGTGTGGACTGAGGAAAAGACCAAGTTTTTACGCTCAGGATGATGCTTCCTGTGTGTGGGTCCAAGACGCTTGATATTTGAAGAATCACATTTAAATACAAACACTATAGCCTAAATTTATAGCTGTTTTAAAAATTAAACTCATTTCAGTAGGCCACTAGACTATCATGATGTTAATGCACCTGATATTCATCAGAGATGTACATGTAGACAGACAGACACACATACACACTTACAGATGGCAGTTAGATTTTGCTGCAGAAGCTCATTTTCTATGATGCACTCTATTTTTATATTAGAAGTTGCTTTCATCTTCAGTGTGCTGAAAACACTGTATGTGCCATCTGTGTCCTGGGTGATATTTAATGATGATGGATGGAGGAAGCTGTTGTCTGTTCCATTTATCCAGTAAACGTTTGGCTTTGGGTATCCTTGACTATAGTTGCAACTCAGTGTCATGTCTTCACCAATACTTGGGCGTGTTCCTACAGGTCCACTTAGTACTGGTAGGCTGTTATTGACTGGAAAAGGAAAAGTCACCGCATTTTAGAATCTTTTTGAAAGATTGAGGAATAACACAGATAAGAGTGCACAGGTTTGGGGGATTATAAACTCACAACTCAGATATAAATATCACCAGTCATCCCGAAGTCAGCCGCTGCTGAAACAGATCAGTGGCTGATTCCAGGAAGCCCGGGGAAGAGCAGCTCTTCCCCGGGCTTCCTGGAATCAGCTGCTGATCTGTTTCAGCAGCGGCTGACTTCGGGATGACTGGTGATATTTATATCTGAGTTGTGAGTTTATAATCCCCCAAACCTGTGCACTCTTATCTGTGTTATTCCTCAATCTTTCAAAAAGATTCTAAAATGCGGTGACTTTTCCTTTTCCAGTCAATAACAGCCTACCAGTACTAAGTGGACCTGTAGGAACACGCCCAAGTATTGGTGAAGACATGACACTGAGTTGCAACTATAGTCAAGGATACCCAAAGCCAAACGTTTACTGGATAAATGGAACAGACAACAGCTTCCTCCATCCATCATCATTAAATATCACCCAGGACACAGATGGCACATACAGTGTTTTCAGCACACTGAAGATGAAAGCAACTTCTAATATAAAAATAGAGTGCATCATAGAAAATGAGCTTCTGCAGCAAAATCTAACTGCCATCTGTAAGTGTGTATGTGTGTCTGTCTGTCTACATGTACATCTCTGATGAATATCAGGTGCATTAACATCATGATAGTCTAGTGGCCTACTGAAATGAGTTTAATTTTTAAAACAGCTATAAATTTACTTTAAGTCACAAATAACTCTCTACAACAGAAATCCCTAGCTTGCTTATAAAATATTGTTTGCATCTGGATAAATTAAACTTCTAGAGCACATGGATACTTTGCACAAGGTACAAGACTTTACCAACATTTGCACTGCTTGTTGGGCTCTTAGAAAACATTTGGGAATAAATTAGAGCTAAGTAACACACAACACTGAGAGCCACGACTGGTGGCTGTAAAGACATTTAATTGGATAACGGGAAACTTTACTATACCCGTGATAAGTAGATATCTGGCTAACTAAAATTATTCCAGACCATGGATATTGCTGGACCAGAGAGTGTCAGATGAGAGAGGTTTTATCTGTAGTCACTTTTATTATTTGTATAGTGTCTAGGAGCTCCAGTCCCCTGTTGTGCTAAAGTTGTACAAACAGGACAAAAGTTGGTCCCTGTCCTAAACAGATCTTGGTTCAGCCAAGCTTTTAAACATATTCTTAAAGTTATGGCTATTCTTCAATGTATTGCAGAAACTGAGCTAATCTGAATAGCTGGAGATGGGTGATGCCAAACAGTTATAAGCCTCCTGAATAATCAAGTATAAATATATTACAGTGCATCACTACAGCAGAATATTTACAATGGGAATCTATATTAAGAGTAAACCTATTTCCCAAAAGATGGCATAATATATGTTATTCTTTCTATTGCATTTGATTACTAATGGGTTATCATAAAATACATTGATAACATTGCACTAGAGATGGAACATTACTTTTGATTCCATTATGTGTATGTTAGGATTTTTCTCACCCTTTATCTTTATCAAAGCTTGTTTTCCACATATGTATTTTGGCACCTGATTCTAAAAAAAAAAAAATTACTTTTACTCCCTATCCTGAACCTGTGTTGGGTTTAGATTACAACTGGTTCCTAGCTGCGCCACAGGTATAACTTGGCTTTGGAAAGTCATTAAAAAATCATAATCTGAAGACAAATAGCAAAACTGTAACTGGAATTTAGCCAAGCACCAGTCTGAGGCAGAATTTGGGTACAGCCGTGCCTGAAACTGCCTTGTTTAACTGCTTTCTCTCTCTCTCAGTAAACAGAAGCATTTCCCTGCCCTTGAGTCCTTAACAGCTGAGGGAAGAGTAGGCCAAATAGTTTGTTCTTCAAAAGCTGGATATCTGGATGGTTTTGATTGTTTATGGTGATACTGTCTTTGTCCAAGTTAAAAGCTTGGATTGTCTAAGGGAGGCAAATTAGTGTGGTAGGACCACCACCACTGGAGACATGGGGAAATCCTCCCCTTATCAAACAGTGTGACAAATAACCATCCTATAGCATCCTCTAAGATCTAGAGTGGGAAGGTGCTGTTTAAACATTGAGGTTTACATGGAATATAGAAGACCTTACCTGCTACTTTGAGAGCCACAACTGCTTTGTGAATAACTTTGAAAACATTTTCCTTCTTCTGTACTATGCACCGGTATGTGTGTTCGTCTCGCAGGCTGACATTTAGCAGCAGCAGAGAAAAAGTGCCATTTTCCAGCTTATCCTTGAATAACCGAGTTCTGTTTCTGAAGTCTCTACTCTGTTCGCTTTGGTTTTCATAACCAGAAACAAAGGTGTGTACCACTATAAGTTTTGAACCATTCTGTATTTGCCAATAAACCCGTAGCTTATTTAGCTTGAATTTTTCCACTGAAGTATAAATGCAACTCAGTTCAGCAGTACTGCCTGCTGTGCTGATAACATTTTCCTCTTCTGTACTAACTGCAAAGATAAAAAAGAAAACCAAAAAAAAAAAAAAAATCAGTATATTAAACTGCTTTTCTTAAGACTGCTCACAACCGTACTGTGATTTCCTGCCCCCCATTGCATGCTTTATGAAATTGACTTATGGATACAAATATGCATAACTTGAAAATGCTTTGGACATAATACTTCACATAATCTATCAACTTTAATGTCACAATTGGCTGGATCTATATATATCTTATTTTGGTGTATGTATCACTTGCATATGTAAAGTTAGAGCTATGGAGTGGTTTATAGTTTTAAAGGTGCAAATGAAAACAATCAAGTATTTCCCTGAATGTTTGGGTGATCACCTGTAAACAGCCTTCTTTGTTCTTTAAGTCTAGCAGTGGTTGGTCTTAGGAATGCATAGGATAATAATATTTCATAGAAGGTGGAGGAGAGAACTCCAAGTTCCCACCCAAAGTGGAATCTATAAAACAATGGGAAGCAAGCTGTCCCTTTGTCTTTGGCTGGCATGGCACTCCCAAGGGAATGAACCAGAGACCCCAGGGGAAAAGATCTTCCCTGGTTTGGAGGTTTAGCTGAAATAAGAACAGTTTAGGGTGAGTTTTTAATAAGCTCAAGTGTGTGTTAGAACTAGCTACACATTTCTTGTTAATTTTAAATTTGTAATTCACTTTGCTCTGCCTGTTTTCACTTGCAATCACTTTTACATCCTACTGTCTGTATTTAATAAAATCACTTTTATTTACTATCAAGCCCATTGTAAATGATTGTTACCTGGGGGAGCAATCAAAGTGTACATCCTCTTTTCTTAAGAAGAAAAGGAGTTCTTCTATTTTCAAAACAACTAGATCAATATTCACTAGTCTTATAAAGAAAAACAGTTGCTTAGGCCCAAGTTCTAATCTCATTGCCAGCAAAGAAGGGTGAAAGTATGATCCAGTAATAAGACACAGAGTCGGTTCTCTTCTCTTCCACAGACTAAGTGTATGGCGTGACCCTGAGCAAGCCAGTTAATCTCTGCTTCTCAATTCCCTAGCTGTAAAATAATTGGTATCTGCTTTGTCAGTGTCTCAGTCTTGGTCTGTAAGTCTTAATGTTCTACTTGTGAAGCCTCTTCTTGGCAACTGTGTTAGGTTGTGATCACTACGTCAGCCCAAGGCCAGAACTTGCAGAGGAGTTCTATACAGGAAGGGCTTTTAAGTCTGTTCTGAAAATGTTCATCTCTCTCTAGTCTAGAGGCTAAGGTTAGTACATTTGCACATAGCCCTCTCAAGCTTCTTTTTTATGTTACTGGGCCTAGTCCAACAAATCTTAACTCACTCAGAGCCATATTCTGATAACTCGTTCTGCACTACAACTGTACTTCCCACTGACTTCCGTGGGAGTACTCTGGTAAAAAGGTATTATTCGATCCGAATAAAGGTCCCAAGGTAGTCCCAGTGTCCTTAAGAAAAATCACAAAGACGTTTGACATTCTTTATGCAAATTACAGAAAAAAACTGGTATTAAAGAATCTTTGTTTCCTGTTCAAAAGTAGTGTTTAGATTTCTGATGTATGTAGTGCAAATAGATAAAAATGCTTGTATTAAGTGATTGTAACAAGAATAAATTTTTCTTAACTTACCAAATCCCAGAGCAAAAAGAAACAGTAACAAATGTCCAGAGCTAAAAACAAAAGATAAAAGCAGGATGATGATAATGCAAGCATAAGCATATACATACTATTCACAATTTTAAATACAATAGCAACAACATATGAGTAGCAGTTCCTATGATATAGACTCAGAATAAATAACCACATTTTTGACAACTACAAAAATGATCACTCTGTGAGAAAAGGCAATAAACGGAAGTATAATACTATACTGGGATGCAAGAGAGAGGCTTGAAACCAATGCTATCTACCTTTCTAAGTAATAGTTGACTGGATTTGTCTGTGGCATGTCAATGGAACATGTGGAGATCACTACTAAAAGAACAGCTTAGTATGCAGATCATCTTCTTGGGTGAATGGGGATATGTACCTATATAAAAATGTGAATAGGGAATACACCAAGGTGTGGAGTGGAATTAAGGCCTCACTAGCATGAGTCTGCAAAAGCTGCATTTTCCACAAGTGGATTATGCAAAACATATCCATCACCGCAAATGAATATTTTGTATATGTCAAATGTTACAGGAGAAAAATATGTTATGAATGTTTTATGTTAAATAAGTTTCACTGAGCAGATGATGAAGCCATAGGCATAAAATAAATGCATGTATTTATTACTGAGAAGATTAAGGCATAAATGGGAGTTGTCCACTGTATAATGTAATATGTCTATCACCTCTGCATACTTGTGTATTAGACACACAAAAACTATGTTAAAAGGACATTACGAAGGTAGCAAAGCCAAGCATTCAAAAGATAGAGAATGTCAGAATTAAGGTGGATTGTACAACCATAGTTCACCTCCCTTTGTGTGTATGTATCACTACATAGTATGTGATCTGCAATTAAAGACTATTTTTTCTACAGGATGGCTCCCTCATTCTGTTCACAGATTGATGGTGCTCATCAGTGTTCCCTCTAAGATTTTCTAACCAAGAGTGGAGTGAGTTTTGGCTTGTGCACCAATATTGAGGTCATGTGCGCTGGTTTGGATGTTTGCCTCCATGGCACCCAATTTATTAACACGCGCACAATCCTGGCCACCGGAGCAGAACGCAATGCCACCCTTCCCCCCGGCCATGCAGCATATCCAGTTCCCAGCCACTGGAACACACATTGTGCCCCCCCGCTCCCCATGTGGCAGGTCCAGTTTCCGGCCCCAGCCACCAGAACAGGCCCCAGCCCCCCCTGCCACGTGGCAGCCCCGGCCATCGGAGCAGGCCTCCCACATCCCCACCACTTGGCTGCAGCAGGTCCCGGTACCCCACTCCAGAGGCTCCCTCACCACATAATCTCAGCCAGCCCTGCCCACCAGAGCAGCTGTGTGAGTGCTGCTGTACAGCTCTCCAGAGGAGGTGAATGGGGGAAGAATTTTTTGTGCATGGTCACACAGGCGCGCACCTTAGCATTCAATATTATATTCTCTCCTCATTCAAGGAGTGACCCATGTTGTTTTTGCTGCATAGACAGAACTATTAATTTCCTTGTGGACTTTTCCGTGGAGCTCACTACTATAGTATCTGAATGCTTCACACACTTTAATTTATCCTCACTGCCCTCTTCTTCCTGCACCCTCCCCCCGCCCGTGAGTTTGAGAGTGCTTGACTTTGCAACCTCAATAATGTTTGATTAAAGTATTTTTGTGTGTGTGATTCCCTATGCTTGTTAAAAAGCAAACAGGAAAAAAAGAAATTTATCACATGGCATTGGGTGGACGCCTGCACGGGCCATCAGTAGGACTGGAACTTTCAGATCCATTGCAGAGACCTTTGCTACTTGAGCTAATGGATAAGAGGGGTAGCCGTGCTAGTCTAACAGATTTACTGGAGCATAAGCTTTCGTGGGCAAAGACCCACTTCATCAGATGCAGGTCTTTGTCCACGAAAGTTTATGCAACAATAAATCTGTTAGTCTATAAGGTGCCACAGGACTTCTCTTTGTTTATGCAGATTCAGACTAACACGGCTACCCCTCTGATACATGTTAGTGTGTAAAACCTACTTCATCAGATGAGCTTGCAAAAGCTAATGAAGTAACTGATAAGAATAGGAGATAGTTATCCTCTATGGACCAGCACTAGAGGGGGATCAGACATTTTGCTGTGAAACCCACTGGCAGGTATATGGCAACAGCAGAGGAATCTTGGGTTCTTTTCCAGGCTCTGGAGGAGAGGTTGCTGCAATGGGTAAGGAGTCTTTTGCCAGCTCCCCAATCTTGAACCTTTTGCCTGCTCCTCAATCTTGAACCTTCCTGCCCCATCACCTACAACTTGTTCTTGCTCCAGGGTCCTTTCTTTTCCAACCCTGACTCTTGTCTCTGTCCTGTTCTTCTTGAGTCCCCACTACCCTTCTGCCTGCAATCCCCCCTCCCCAACCTTACTCCCTGGCTGAAGCACCAGGTGGGTGGAGCAAATTAGGGCGTGGGGATACCCATTTTCCAGGACCCCCCCAGGAGACTGTGACCCCTGGGCACAGCCCCATTGGCTCAGTGGCTAATTTGTCGCTGGATCTAATTTCCTGTTGAACTGAAGAGATGGCAATGCTTGACTGTCCTTCATTAATTGGACATTTCAGAGAATTCCCCTTAAGAATTATTGCTGGTGTCAATGAGAAAGCCAAACTTACACTTGTGCTAAGCTGCCAAAATTGCATAACTGGTGTCAATATAAAGTTGTTATTGGATTAGGAGCTGAATCTTTCAATGCAGAGTTTGACTAACCAGATCCAGTGGCTGATTGCTCTCCCTCCTAAGTGGCTGTTAGTGCTGCTGCTACTGTCCACTCTGCCTGTACACACTGTACACTGCAGAGTTTTTCCAGAAAAACTATACTTATGTCCACACTACTATTGCATTCTTCCAACAGAAAGTCGAAAGAATGGAGGGGTTTTTCCCGATGGCGGTAAACTTCATTCTACAAGGAAGAAGTCTTTTTCCGAAAAAGCTTTTTTGGAAAAAGGCGTGTGTGGACACAGAAGAGAGTGTTTTTTCTGAGGAAGAGGCCTCCAGGAAAAAGCACAGGTACCCTGGTGGCCACTCCGTCCACAGTAATCACAACTTAAATGTGCGAGAGCATCCACATTGGATTGGACACTATCTTTTGAAAAAGCAGATTGCTTTTTTGTTGCTCTTTTGCTGTGTGGATGCTCTTGTCTCTGTCTCTTGTATCTCTTGAAAAAAGTTTTTATGGAAGATCTCTTCTAGAAAAGCATCTTCCAAAAGAAACCTGCAGTCTAGACGTAGCCATACTGAACACCAACCTGAGCAGGTGAGAGGATTCTTTCCTTCCTTCCTTGAAAGCAGAGGAACTCCTCTGTACTGTGCCCATTGGGAATTAATTCCTGCACCAACTGGAGTAGGAATGATTTCCACTAACTTAAAGGGAAACTGGATCAGTCCCTTGGTCTTTCCTTAATCATTTGTTTTTCTTCGTTTATTTCCATTCTCTCACACACCCTTTTTTTTTTTTACTTCCTGTTAGGCAGGAGAAAGTTTCAATTCCTCTTTCACATATTGGCCCAGTGAGATAATTCTTCTCACTCTCACCTGCACATTCACATAAACAATTTTACCTTCTGCTTATGCAAACAGACTTGATGAAGCAGTTGAAAATTGCAATGTATTTGTGTGTGTGTGTTTTTCTTTTTGAAAGCATATAAAAAATAAACTGATGCTCATGGTGCAACAACTGAGTGTTTTGTTTCATGTTTTAAATCCAATCTATAAATCTTGACTACATTCTCAACTGTATTATGAACAGATCTCTGTGCTTCATCTGTTATATTTCTCTCAACTGAGTTATGTAGAATTCAATTGACTTAAATCTTTACCTGTTTCATGACCTCATTCCATTATAATAATTTTCTAGATAATATAAAACTCATTTGCGTAGACCTTTCTATTCATGTTAACCAAAAGGAAGTCTGTTTAGTGACATTCTCTCTGCTTCTCTTTTTTAGAAGAGATTCTTATAGCACTACACAAACATTTAGTAACCGCCTACGTAGTTACATGTGAGTGCACTGCTGAGGGGTTGAGCACAGAATCAGTAATGCAGAACTTAGTGTTGGAGTTAATACCAAAACCCACTGAAGTCAGTGAGGGTCATTTTACTGACTTTGTCTTTGTATGAATCTGCATGGACCTAATCCTGAAAGGTGCTGAGCTCCCACAACTCCTATTGTAACTGAGGGGAGAGACTGGGACTCTCTCTCATTCAGACCTAGTTGTTCAATGTGACCCACCCAGACAACTGCACTGGCATGCTGTTGCCATATCCACTAGAGGCATAAACAAATGCCTTTTATCTGCCGTGTTGAAGTGCATGGTAAAAATATGATGTTGGGAATATCCCCCACTGAAAGGAACATGGTAAGCAATTGGTTTTGGGAAAGAATCAAGTTGCAAATAAAAAAAGAAAGTTTAGCCTGATGTTATGCTGTGAATACTTAGATGATGTATTTACAAATGGGCAGGGGTGGTGAACCTCAAGCCCCAGGGGCTGGATCCCCTCCAGCACTGGGAGGCTGGAGTGCCAGTGCGGGTTCCCCAGCCCTCCTGTCGCCCACCATGGGGCTGGAGCGCACAAAATCTACTAGGCTCTGGTATATGAGGGGAATGTGGGGAATGTCTCATCAGTTGGGGGGGCCACGTCAGTGAGGATTGGGATTTTTTTGTTTTGTTTTTTGCTTCTCACTTGTGTGTGGCCCCTGACTGATTTTTCTGTGGGTCAGTGGCCCCCAACCCAAAAAAGGTTCCCCACCCCGACACAGGAGCTTGTTTACCATAGGGAAAGGAGTATTTATATCATCAGGTAAAAAGAGAGAGATAGCAAAATCCTCCACAAAACATTTCTCTATTTCCAACCTGGAAATCTGATGTTTTGATCCAGAATGAAACCCAAACATTTCAGAATTCTCCATGCAAGGAGGTTCTCCAGCTTTGGGGCAGTCTACTTCATAGGCTGTCTTACACATCTACACTAGAGGAGAAAGCTGATCTAAGATATGTACCTTAGGTTGAATTTCTGCAGTGTCTCCACTTTGGCTCAGGAGAAACTCTCACATCAACTTCCCTTACTCCTCGTGACCCAATGGAGTACCGAGGTCAGTGGAGGCACCATCAGAAGATGATTCATCAGATCCTTATTGGACATGCTAAATCGAACCCCAGGATACCAGTCTTGGGATAAATGATCTTAGCACTGATCTTGGGATAAATGAAGACCAGCCTAGTTTCTGAGTCTCTAGCAGCCTGCCAGGTGAACTGCTATGGGGAGCCAGGAAACTAAGCTGGTTCCTCTACCTGATTTCTAGAGGAACTTTATCAAAAATCAAATGCTCTCTGCAGAATGTTTTGATTTCAATGAACTGGGAAATGTTGACCAAAAAGGTTCTGTCTGAATTGTTCAGAATGCCTGTAGCGAGAACTGGAATAAGGTAAGAAATCCTAGAGAGACAAGGCACTTTGTAATTTTCATGCAAATTAGGAGTTTGAGGTAAACTGAATGAGTTTAAACGGGGGGAGGGGGGGAATCTATTCATCTAATTCAATGGAAACTAACGTTTCCACCCACACTTTGGTCAGAATTTGGCTCAGACAGTGCAGGATCCGAGTGCTACTTCTTAACCTGAGAATAAAAAAGGCACTTTTATATTGAGTTAACTAAAACCACAAAGGACACTGCCCTCTGTGTATTTAGCTCAATTAGGTACCATTCCTATTCAGCAGCAAAGTAACCTTTCTGTGTAATAACAATCATAAGAGAGTTTTCTGCTGTTTCCCCTCTAAAATTTAGTCAATGTCAAGGGGAGAGTTATCATTATCTAAGTTGCACATTCCTGCCTCTGTAACACAAGAAGCAGAAATTGATTTCTTGGGAGTAGGATCTGGCTGTCTCATTTGCCCCCCAATGTTCCCTCTTGATAAAAGAAGATTAAAGTATGAACCCTAACTTGGCTGCCACGGAGACACATCAAATGGATTGGGGGATAAGAGGGGAAGGAACCAGCCTACAGGCAGACACGCAGACAACAGTCAATGGGAAGAGTTAGTGGAAAAAGCTGGACCACCTTGCAGCTGGGTCATTTTGGTAGTCAGCATCCCCTTCTCCCCCCAAAGTGTACTGTCAAAATGGAGAACAAGTTTAACTGTACCTAGTGCACGAAACCCCTTCCTGCAGGCAAACACCCACATCCCGCACCTGGATCCAGAGAGATACAGTTTTTGATGCCAGCAGTCCTAACAAAGAACCAGTGTAGAGCGTGCTCCTACTGCAGCAAGAAAATCAGGCCCGTGCCCCCCTCTCAGCATAACACTGGTTCTCGCCCATGGGACGTGTGGCTCGCGGCAGGTGGGTAGGAACAGGTCCAGGGATTCCTTTGCCAAGGAAGGGGGCGGATCTGCTCCAGCTGCCTGCCCTGCAAAGTGTGTGGGGTCCGGCGTGCGTGGAGCAGGCAGCCGGTCTGAGGGCTTTAGCCATAGCCCGGGGGCCCGGGCACCGCAACCCCTTCGCCTCCAGTT